TATATATATATATATATATATATATATATATATATATATATATATATATATATATATATATATATATATATATAGTAGTGGTGGTACCCCGCCAGCACGGTAAAATAAATAAGGACAGAGTTAGCATCGCTATGAGACCGACAGAGACGGCGTTACCATGGACACTGTAAAGTCGACAAGAATGGAGGTACCGCTAATGCTGTGAGGCGAATAAGGACGAAGGTACCGGCGAGACGAGGTTCGGTGGCAGCACCGCGTCGTCATACATGATGAAGACAGAGCTATACCGTCGATGCTATGCAACCGACGAGGACGAAGCTAGAGCGCGACGAGAGGAGGCTAGGTGGCTAGGTGGAGGGGAGTTAGGGGACGAGGTACCCGCGTCTGGCTAGCTCGCCAGACACCACTCCCCACTAGGTCTGGTCGTTCTCTCCTCTAGCTACCTCTCTTTCTCTCTCTCTCTCCTCTTTCAGTGTTCGTTCGAACGCGGCCCGGTACGGTTCTGTCGCTCCGTGGTGTCGAAGGGTCCGCTTCGTCATGGGAGCTCACTGCCGTGATGGTGTCGGCAGGTCACCTCGGTAGCCAGTTCCCAACGCCAATGTAGCTTCCTCAGAGTGGCTCGCGTGGTTTTTACGGTCCTTGTTTGCCGGTAAGGGCGGGTGTGCGCGACGAGGAGGATTATTGGGGTGGGTGTGCGTGTGGTGTGAGGGAAGGCGAGATAGTGATAAGGTAGACAGAAAATTCTCTCTCCAAGCTCGTCTGATGATGAGTAGACGATACCTAAGACCTCGAGTGGAAGACTGGAGTAATTAGTAAGCAAGTACTAAGAGAGCCAACTCTTTCGAGCTAATGGAAAGCTGGAAAACAAGTGTACAAGTTGTTATTCGCGGGCAAGCTCCGAAACGTCGTAAGCCTTCTCTTCAGTAAAGATGTCATGTTTATGTTACGCGCGCAAATTATCGGATTCGTCGACATTTTCGTGTTTGTAATTAAATCTGGGTTCGTTGTACGATGTTGATGCGACAAGGAAAAGAAGTCGCAAGAGGATAGCAGAAAAGAAAGCTAAATAGTGGACTTTCAAGTCCACTTGTTTGCTCGCTCGAGGCTCGCTCGAAAGTAGAGATCTGTTTTGCTTTTTTGCGCCTCTTCTTCTAAAAGGAGAGGCAAAGCTCGCGGAATTGTCGTTTGCCGGGGTCAGGTGGGAGTAGCGATTCAAAATAACGTCGTAAGAAGATTACATCGCTTGTCGCCCTGAATGAAGAACGAGACTCCTGACGGAGGTGCTTCATTTACGAAGAGACGTCGGCCAGGTTGCTAGGAGACGGCGCAAAGTTCCAGTCGTAATTTTCTGGACACGGGCAAAATGTCTGGCAACTACTCGACACGCTGCGAGCCGGGCCTGATGATGCCGATGTGGCATCCAGCGGATAACCTGCACCTGATCGACATCATCTTTCGAGGCGTGGTTTACTTTGTCCTGCTTTTGTATCTATTCATCGGCGTGTCGATCATCAGTGACCGGTTTATGGCCGCCATCGAGGTGATCACGTCTAAAGAAAAGGAGCTGGTGGTGCATCGTCAAGGCAGAGAGCCACAGATCGTCGTGGTGCGGGTGTGGAACGAGACGGTGGCCAATCTGACCCTGATGGCGCTCGGCAGCAGCGCGCCCGAGATCTTGCTGTCCATCATCGAAATTTGGGCGAAGAACTTCCAAGCCGGCGAACTCGGTCCGGGCACGATCGTCGGCTCGGCCGCCTACAATCTCTTCGTTATCATCTCTTTGTGCGTCTTTGTAATCCCTAACGGCGAGACCCGGAAGATAAAGCACCTGCGCGTCTTCTTTGTTACTGCAACTTGGAGCATCTTCGCCTATGTGTGGCTCTACGTTATCTTGGCGGTTTCTAGTCCAGGTGTGCTGGAGGTCTGGGAGGGTATATTGACCTTCTCCTTCTTTCCAGCCACGGTTCTGTCGGCTTACATCGCCGATCGAAGACTGCTGATTTACAAATATCTGCACAAGGGCTATCGGATGAACAAACGAGGTGTGATCGTACAAGCAGAGTCCGGGGACTCTGAGGTGGGGGTAGAGTTGGAGATAAAGCCTCAGCAAGATGGTCTCCACAGCATGGTGGACCGTCTGGCCGACGCTGACTCTCCCGAGGCGAAGGAGTTCGAGCAGACCCGCAGAGATTACATTAATACCTTGAAGGAATTGCGCAAAAAGTACCCCACCCTACCCCTGGAGCAATTGGAAGTCATGGCTCATGAGGAGGTGTTGGGCAAGGGTCCCAAGAGCAGAGCTTTCTATAGAGTGCAGGCTACGAGGAAGATGGTGGGCGCGGGTAATCTCAGTAGAAAGATCAGCGAAAGGGCGCAAAGCGACCTCAGCGAGGTCAAGGCCGAGCTGCAGAAGCAGGAAGCCGAGAGCATCGACATCGAGCATGTCAACGCTATGAGAGTGTTCTTCGAGCCTGGCCATTACACCGTAATGGAAAACGTAGGAACCTTCGAAGTAGGAGTCACCAGGGATGGTGGTGATCTCACCAGACCTTGCAGTGTGGATTATTGCACAGAGGACGGTTCCGCCGAGGCGGGATCTGATTACGTGAGTGCCAAGGGCACCCTGACCTTCGAACCTGGCGAGACTAAGAAGACTATCAAGCTCTCAGTTATCGACGATGAATTGTTTGAGGAGGACGAGCACTTCTATGTCAGGTAGTGGATCGATGGTTGATTTTCCGCGAAAATGATCGTTGCGTGATGGTAGGTTACAATAGAGTAATAGATACTTTTCGCGAAGGAGCTAGTATTCCTGGTTAAAAAGGTTGAGGGACAATTTTGCTCTTTGCAAAGTTTTTTGGAGGACATTTTGGAGAACGTTTATAGGAAACGCTTTCTCTACTCGACGATATTGGCGCGCTTCCATTAATTTTGCGCATGAGATCAATTGCATCTATCAATTTAGACGAATGACCGGGGAAAGATCAATAAAACGAGATTAAAGTATCCCTATTAAAAACCATATTCACCCACTTTGATTACTTCAATTACATCTTTGATTACTTGAATCACGAGCTCCGATTAAAATATCGGACATATCAGTGGAAATCAGCGGGCACACACAAGCGCAATTGAAACACGTTAAAATTCTATTCGTTAAATGTACCTGCCGGTAACCACGCGCGGAATCTCTCCCCTCCGTATAATTATCGCGCTGAGGTAATCGTTTGTAGTATTTGTGTATGATTGACTTCTTCCATCACATCACATATCCCGATATAAGTCTCGTGCTATTCAGAGGTAAGACGCAATCGCCTCGAGACTTCTTTGAAAAAGGCGTGGTTCTAAGAGAGCATCTGATGCATCTAGTGCACTATTATTACGGATCATTGATCAGCGGCGAGGAGGTAATCATCCAATTGATTTCGAACGAGTGGCATCCGCAATTTGATCAGTGGATAAGCTAGTCGATTTAATCAAGGACGTTAAGAGTGATTAGAGTGGCCTTTTTTATTTCGTACAATATTCAATCACAACAAATATTCCATCACGTAAATAGCACATTTGACATATTTATTATATCATTTCATATATATTAATTTATTTATGTGTCTCTGCTCTCTCCCTCTCTCTCTCTCTCTCTCTCTCTCTCTCTCTCTCTTCTTTCTCTCTCTTTTCTTTCTTTCTGTATGAATTTCTTTTTTATTGCTTTTACGAATAAACGTGTTCTTTGAAAGTAAATGACGATGATGTCATGAAAAAACGATCATAATTGGTACAATCTCCTTATGTGGGAAGAAATCGCGATGGAGCGGTCTGGTTACGTCATAAAAGCATATTTCCAGACCAGCGGCGAAGGACGGTGAAATTGGTACCACACATATTGGTTTTAGTCGTTGTACCTTACACGCTTTGTTTCTTTTTTTTTTTCTTTTTTGCCCTCCTTCGATCCCTTCATTATTTTTTCTTTGAAAACTTCGAGGTACATATATTACACTTTAAATGTAGCGAGTGCAATAAAGCCAAGTTAGAACGAGCAGACTCTTTTATTTCACGCTATGATCAAAAATTGCGAATTCGTGTTAGTATGGCCAGATGCCCTGGAGATATTTCGTGTTATTTGCAACGTAAGCTTGCATGTCAGATTGCATCGTGTGGCCGGAAACCGCACGTGCATGTACAATTAAATGTATAAGTAAAATGTGCACTGATATAACCTACTTGATAATATAGCTAGAGAAAAATCAGTATGTGAAAAGTGGAAGATAATTAATAGATATACTATCAGGTTAAAGACAATTGAAATGATCCTTGAATTAAATAAATAGTTATTCGAGTATAAAGTATAAATCTATTTATTATACACATTTCACTAACTTAAATTACTTGAAATGGATACTTGTTAAAAAAGGGTAGAAAATGATATTTTAATTGTTACGATTGCAACTCAAATATATATATATATATATATATATATATATATATATATATA